CCTGCCAAAATTTTGGCCCCTGTCTCTAGGGCTCTTGAATAATTTTTTAAAAAAAAAAAAAAAAAAAAAGGAAAAGTTCAACATCTAAGCGTTGTTGCCAGGCAAGTCCTTTAATTAGAAAAAGAAAAAGGCTAATTGAATAACCTCTGGTTTCAGTAATTTTTTCTGCCATCACTTAAGTCAGACAATAATTCAACAGCCTGCCATCAAATAACTCAAAGAAATGTAGGACAACTGAAGCGCTTAGATTTTCAGTTAAGCAATCTTCAGAACAGTTATAAAGAATTAGCGTTTGTGCTCGGAAGTATGGGGTTTTCCCACTAGATTCGAGCTTGCTAACGTAGACTTCTTGTTTTCCAAACTTCCATAAAAGAAAAACTCATAGTATAAAGAACAAAACCCTTGACAAAAAAAAAAAGGAAAAGCAAAAAAGAGAAGAAAAATGCTTTCTTGTAGCCTTGAGGTCGACAGTTGTCTCTATTGCAAAACTATAGTCTCGGCAACCCCTCAGTGTGTTATTTTATAACCATTGTCCTGAAAACCACTATGAGTCAAAGCCTATTCAAGCGAGGGAAAGTGACATAACCACTGGTTACCAGTAGCAATGCAATGACAATCTCTCTATCAGGGATACACCACCAGTATTTACATAGTTACATACCAGACACTTAAAGAGATAAATCATGGTATAAAGGGAGGGTTTCTAGCAGCACATGAATTCAAGATAGGGAATGGAAATAGATTTTCATAGAAAACGTAATCAGCATTTGTGCTCTGAAAGGAACTTCCACAGTTTCTATTTACAATGTATGAATGCATCCGCAGGGCTAGCTGACAGTCTGATCACTCAGGACTGAAACGAGTCTCAAAAAAGCACTGTGAACTGTACTTCTGGGAATTCTTACACCAGCAGGGACGTGGCTGAAACATTTCAAGAGAAGAGGGCAGCTGTGCTTATGAACTACTCCTGTGGTGGAAGCCGTATGCCTAGGAGGGTTCAGAACACAGACCTTTAGCCAAAGCCAGAAAACAGTTAAGGCCTTATCGTGAATGGCCTATGGGCAACAACTCTGTGACTTCATAGGGGAGAACCCAGCTGGCTCTGCCTCTGCTAGTTCCTGGTATTTGTGGTGTTTGGTAAATGTTAGTACTTTGTGGGGTGTGACAGGTACAGAGTGAGCTGTGCAGTAACTAACAGCAAAATATTTTAAAGCCAAGATACTAATTGACTGTTCACTACAATCAAACAACTACAAAATATTTGATTCTGACATCAGGCCCAGCTCTGCAAAGGCTGTTTTAGCAAAAACAGCTGTGTAAATTGAATGTACGTACTCAATCTAGATATGCTGGGGTGTTTTTATATAACACAGCCTGAAAGCATGGCATTTTCATACATTCATACATATATTCATGGATTTGGAGCAGCAGTGGGTCATGAGGTGTACTTGATTAGAGAGCAAAAAAAAAAAAAAAAGGCAAAAAGCAAAAAAACCCAGAAAGCAGCCCCCCTACCTACCTGCATTGTTCATGAGATCAAGAACAGATTTATCCTTCACTTAAACAGAAGAAGTTAAAGCTAAGAGGTGACTCACTCTGCAAAAGCACAGCTTCCTTGTATGATTTTTCTACAAAGAGAGGTTTAATTTCTTCCTTTCAGTGACAATGAGCACAATACTGATCTTCTTCCAGCAGTTAATGGCTGGCATGTCAGGCAATATTAGAGCATGGCTACATTCTTCAGCCTTCTTCTGGAGCTATAATCTGTATCACATTTTGAGACCACAAAAACAACCAACAAACCTGTTTCTTTCCCCTCTCAAACACAACTAACCCAAGTGTGAAACTCCTACCTGATAGTCAGGCTGATGAAGCTCCTTCTTTGCTGGAAGTAGGGATGTGAAGTCATATCACAAATACAGCCACAGATGGCTTTTTATTTTTAAGTGCTCTGCACACACTGTAATAGTCCAGAGGCAAGAACAGATTTGGATTGATGGCCCTCGGAGTTGGGCCAATTGAAAAAAGAAAAAAAAAGAAAAAAAAAGAAAAAAAAAGGTAGGTCTGGCCATTATGTCAGGAAGATGTGCTAACTTATGGTTAGTGAACAGGAAGTGAAAACATGTGAGCTCTTCTATTGTTTCCCACCGAATCTCTGAATGACTTCTGGCAACTATCTTTTGCATTCTGCCTACTGTGACTACTCCTGCACGCACCGGGCATCTCTTCTATTATACACACATGATTTACACTGAAAAACAATCAAGTTCAAGTTCTATTTTAAATAAGTTTTGACACACTAATCTTGAAAGAAAAGGCATAATGTTCCATATACTATCAAGGAAATGAAAGAACAGGTGTATGGGAGAAATTTACGTTCATATGCCGCGGTTAGAGAATTGCTAGAATTAAGACATTCACAAATCTATTATCTAGTTTAAATAAATGCATGGCACCATCAAAGAGAGAAAGCAACCGGATCACTGTTTTTTTTTTTCAGGGAAAACTACCAGTAGAACCTGTGAAAGGTCCTTGTTGCCTGTTGGTCTGTGAACAGTGTGTAATAAGAAAAAAAAAAAACAGTGCCCTTCCCATGCAAACCTCCTACCTTCCTAACTGATGACTTAGTGATCGGCTTGACAAGACCTGGGGACCAACAAAACGAGTGTCCCATTCAAGTTGTATCTTTCATTGTGTGATACAAAAAGGAGGATTCACAGTGTGTCCGTGAAGTGTAACCAAACCTAGAGTGAGTTAGGTAAAATAATTTCTGTTCAGACAAACCCAGGTTCTTAGGTGGCTACTTTTGTTCTGTATTGGAACAAAAGGGCTACAGTCAGAAGTTCAGGGGAATTCAAATTCCGGAATATTTTAATTGTGAAGAAGATACTCCAGTGTTGAACAAATACTTAACACATAATTCACCATGAAGTTCTGAGAAGCCTAACAATAATCTGAAGACTCGTATTTTATCAAAACTGATGAACTACCCACCAGCCATTTTGGTGACAACTGCTGTTTCACTGGAAAGCTAATCTGTCAGAAGGAAAACCCAAATTAACTGTTAAATATAGAGGAATGAAAATCCCAAGTGTTTAAGTACCCCTCAGTGTGCATGGTAAACCTACAATTACAGTAAACTCCTGCTTAATGTGTGGCACAACAAACTTGAGACTAAGAGGTCCATCATCCCTTACAGAGAACACAAGGAAAAGTCAGGAAGCCTTTCCATTTCTGTAGAACACAGGCAATTGCTGTTACAGAACAACTGAATTAATATATTGACTAGAAGGTGAAAGTATTTATGGATTCTTCTACTCTGACCAGTAAAAAAACACCTTGCAAATGTCTTGAGAAATACGTCATTTCACACCCATGCAGTCTTCCATTTGTCTGAAAAGGCTTCACTTACCATCCCAGCTGAGACGCTTTTCCAGTTTGGAACCATGTAAACCTGAACATTCAGAAGGGAAAGGTTATAACAAGGAACATAAGAATGTATGTTTTGTTTCATAGCTTGTGATAATGTAATTCCTGAAAGAAAGTGAACAAACTTCACAAAGTAAAACCAAAAAGAAAACACCACATTAATGCAATTTACAGTCCACTTGAAGTTATAGGAGCCAATTCCTCTTAATATGCTTTGGTGTGACCTGAACACAGTAGTTAGGATGCAGAATGGATCAAACCTGGAAGTTATTGATGAGTAGCCTACAAAGCAAATGGAACATGCAGCTTTTGAACAGTTTGAAATTATGGCTGACAGGTTTATTTGAAACTCCAGGACATGTTCTTGCACAGGTTTCGAAAGCTTTCTGGACCACAGCTATTTAGCTGTCTTTAGATTGGTATGAACTGCTGTCAAAGAAGTCTCCTCTTAAAAAGTATAACAATTAAGTCTTTTTATGCCTGTTGTGATTCTTAAAGTCCAAGAGCCAAGTCATCTTTTCCTACACAAACACCTGTGGGAGTGCACAAGGCCTCCAGAATTCACGATTTTAATTTCTGCAGGGAGTGAGGAAGTTAAAGGCAATTTCTACAATCACAAAAAATGAAAGAGAGAAGTATGGGGGGTACTACTGAGGTAGAAACCCTGAAAGTAGGTAGAATAAGCCAATGCTTAACAATGGTAGTGGTATGTGCTTTCTAAACTACCTTTGACAGCCAGATAAATCCCACAGTTCTAGGGCCCACGGCCTGTGCTGCGTTTGGGCTGTTGCTCACAGCCTCCATATCTTTACTGCTGGGGGAAAAACTCATTCAGGCAGTGACTGAGGACTGCATCCCTTCTTGGCAATACTTTTAGGGACATACTTGTGGTCCCACAGTGTTTAAATGAGACTAAAAAACATGCAATTCAAATTAAGGGAGTTCTTCCAAGGTTTACTCATGGGGCAAAGGAGTGACTTAAGAGCATTTCAGTTGGAAGGGACCTACAATGATCACCTAGTCCAACTGCCTGACCAGTTCAGGGAACTTTAGCCTATGCCTAACTGTTTTCTTGATGTGGGGGCTTGGATATGCTCATACTTGTGACTTTCACACCAGAGGCTATACACAGCCTCTTCATCCTGGGGTCTGACTGACACAATTAATGAATATACAGCTGTAGTGGTCTACGAGGTTACTGCCCCATCGCAGTTCGCTATCATCATAGTGCCAGAGGTTTCTGCCCAGTAATAAGTTAGATGATTTCGTTCACATCAAATATACAGGCAATACATGAAACAAGCAGCAGGCATTTCCAGTTTGAAATCTGTGAGATTACTGCTATTTAGCCCATTCTGATCAACTACATAAAGACTTAGATTACATCTTTCCACTTCTGCAATTCCATGGAATTAGTTTTGGAAGCTCAGTCAAAACTTCTTTCTTCATGTACATACTTCTGATTTTCTTCAAAATTAGCCTTTAAATAGCTGTAGGTATACCTCAGTCACTTAGCAAGAAGACAGACAGCAATTTTACTTATGCAAAACTCAAATTCACATTTGTCATACTAGAGTGCAGGAGTGGTTTTTTTATTTTCTTTTTTATTTGAGATATTGCAGAGCTTTCTTATGATACACATTGACGGGGCTTCCGGTAGCAGGCTTTCAAAAATAATTAGAGTGATGAATCATAATCAGAAAAAAATGATTCGTACATCTATTAAGACAGTTATTTAAAAAATGTTTTGATGAATCATGCAAAAACGCTCACAAACAGCATTATACTTTTTCATAGAGACGTTTTTTGTTTTTTTTCCTAAGTCTTATGAAAAGAGCTTGTGCTTTTAACACTTGAGTCAAAAATATTTCCAGCAGACATCATAAATGCTACATTGCAGTTCAGACAGGCAAAAAGCCATGATGGTCCCCTGCTTTGCCATTCACAAATCACACTGAAGGCTTTGGATCTGTTTTATAACCTCCCAGATTAAAAGTGTTCAGTCCTGGATCTTCAGTATGCTCCTTTTCTCTAAATCATTCATTTCCTTTAGTATGAGTGCAATGTTATATCTCAGTTCTTGAAACTTTGCAACTGGCACCTGAAACAGAATATTCAGGTTAGAAAACATGAAACAGCTTCTGAACTTTGACTAGGGCACGCCTATGGATAGGGGACATTCCACAATGTCAGCCCAATCTCTCTTAAAGTAATATTTTTTTTTAAGATTTAAGACAAAGGATTTGAGGTTAATAAAATTCAGTTAATTCAACTAAATCATCTGGGTGAAAAAGAAAAGAGTGGGAAAACCCAGAAATAACAGCTACATAGTACATTTTCTATACTGTCTGACATGAGAAAGGAAGTACTCCGGTATGTAAACTGATGGTTTCTGTGGGGACGTAAGATAGTCATGGATTGGAAAGAAAGACACCTGGAACATCGTGGAGCCTACAGAATTCTCAGGCAACAAATTCCAGATATTCTGCTTCTCCAAACTTGCACGAGAAAGGAATTGAGCCTCAGAACAAGAGAGTTGGCAACAACCTCAAGAGCAAAGAGGACTGAGTACGGTCTATATATGAAAGGCAAAAGATTTTGACTAAATATACAAAACATTTTCAACCATGCAGGAAACTAATGGACTTCCTTTTACCATTTCAAGCCTGGGAAGCCAAATGGATGGAAATCTATTCTCTGTTAAGACACAGAGCCACATCTGAGCACAGGCATAGACTGGGTGACACAGATTAACATTTGTGCAGTGCATAAACGCACATGCTCACATGAGTACCAATAGCAGTCTAGCTAGTCCCAGGCTGCTCTGCAGAGCACTGCCTAATTTACTTTTCTTCTCTGACGACACTGAAGACACGCAGTTCTTCTGACAGAGTCCCTTGTCATCCTTCTGCCTACTGTAGCACAGATATCAATTATGGGAGAGGAATCCAACATCTGATTTGCATTTTCCATATGCATCAGAAATACATAAAAAGGCATCATGTCCTTTTCACTTTTGACATACATACAACAAGACTCAAAATGCTGCAATTCCCATTGCTTTAAAAAAAAAAACTTCATTGTCAGAAGTCACACTGCAACTAAAAAACCAAACCAAACCCAAGAGTGTAACTTCTCCCTGTGGCATACACGTTTTAAAACTGTTCATAATGGAATTATCTTCTGGATTTACCATCTTACATAAGCCCTGTCAGCAGGACCTTCTGAATGTGTCTGAATGAAAGGAATCTGAAGAGCTGAGGATTATATTTGCTTGCATGTGGTACCTTGAACCAAAACACAGGTTCATCCCAAAGAGCTACTAACTGTGGGAAGACCACTCATGAGATACAGAAATCCTGTTTACACACAGTTCTTTGGAATTCAGATCTAAGCAGCAACAGCAAAGAGCTGATTCTAATAGAAGCACATTGTTTGCTATCAGATATCCACACTTCTGCACATGCTGGACAGGCACACCAACACATCTCCACTGCAGAATAGCGAAGGATCTTCCACAGACTTACAGCAAAAAAAACTAAAACCAAATCAAAACAACCGGGAACAATGCCACCAAGAACAAGACTAGACATTATATACCAGGAAATAAAGCCCCAAATCTAAATAGCAAAGAATGTACTAGTTTTTTATTCTCACAAGTGAAACTTACTCTGTGACACCCTCAACACTTTGCAACGTAGCACAGAATTGGTGCTGTCCTCAATAGCTGCCTTCTTGTGAAGCATTGTAACAGTAAAATCAGTCCACCCCTTTCAACCCACAGTGCTTTGGTGCTTCCTCCAGACTACTACTAACGCATGAACTGAAGCCAAAATCTTTCCAGAATTCAAGTGTAACAATGCCTGCTGTGCACTGAATTCCTGTATGCACGACCATGTTATTTATAGAACAAATAGCATTCCTTTTCAAAGGTTAAAAATATGGAAGAGTTTATGCCATCTTCTGACAAGCCTTTACGTACAGTGTCATAAATGCTGCCACTGACTAAGTCTGAGGTAAAAAGCAAAGAGATTTTTTTACTTTCTTTCTGGCAGCAAGAACTGTACTGAAGAAAGAGAATAGAACTACCTCTGCTACAGAAGAGAATGTTACCATTCTCTACCAAATGTAGGAGGTTTAGAAATATATCATACGTTATATAAACTACTCCAGCAATTTTTCTGCCCTCGAGAGCCACCATCAGGTCTGAAGGTTACAGTTGATAACAAAACCATAATTTTCAATCAAACCGGGTATTATGCCATACTGCTTCTCACTAATTAGTATTTTTCTAACAAATGAGGTTTCAGCAAAATGTGTGTAGGAACAAGGTATGAAATTATTTTGGTTGGTGTTTTGTTATATATCGTATGTGGCAACACGGAACATGAAGGAAACTAACCAATGATAATGCATTGTTTACAAAAGCTTTAATATTTTAAATGGTAATTCAACTTTCTAAAAAGAACTTCAATTCATTTCTTTTTTATTTATTATGGCAATCAGACTTACTTCAAAGCGATGAGCTGTCCCGTCTGAAAGCTTCATCATCATTAGAATGGATGGTTGAAGTGCACGGGCCAGTGAACTGAAATTATTTACGTTATTAGTATTACAACAATAGTCATCAGCAGTGTGAGGAGTAGAGCATTTTACATTAACAATTTAATATGTTTGTGTAGGCTTTACACAGAACATGAGTAATTTCAATCACACGAGTCCTGTACCTGGCTGGCTGGAAACTCATGAACACTGGAGTCCTGTCCAATTTACCTCAGTATTGAGACTAAAATATTTTTTAATAGTTAAGTAGCTGAAAGTTTAGGAGCATTTTCATTTCACATAATAATCAGTTTAGTGGAACTATGATAGGGACAAAAGCTGACAATGTACTGCTAGTAATAATGCAGTTTTCTTATGCAGTTTACCATGTTGCATTAATCCTTTCCATCCCTTCATACTTTCAACTGCCATCTCATTTGGGAATCAAACTCTTCCAGTCTTCATCCTAAATTTGTGAGATGTTATTTTATTTGATGACCCAAGGAGGGGAAGTGAGTCATTCTTGTGCAGCTTTCAGCAACCAATGTTGCCAAAGCCTGCTCAGGTACTGACAGGCGTTACAGCCAGAAGCCATCCATACCTCTTTGCAGAGGCTGTTGCTGGATGATAAACATGAAATCCCAAGGGGGAGGTTGACTGGAAAGGAAAATAAGGAAAATAGAAAAGGATAATGTATTGCTCCTGTGTTGTTTGGAAAACAAATCATAGGATTTGCCTGCAGCTTGCAAGCATTGTGCCTGAGGATGTTTCTCTGCACATTTTTGCTCTCTTAGAGGTACAGATTTTTTCTGCATAGTGATACCTGTGTGGTGCTTATAGCACTGCTCATCTGAGAGTCACCTGAACTAGTAGCTTGTGGCCATTACAAGTTTCACTTAGGAGCCTTTTTTTCTTGATTTCAGGAAGACTATCCCCGATTACCCATGGGCCTCTCAACTATGGCAGCAAAGAGACTGCACACTCCCTTGGATGCAGGTATTCATGAATGCAATATGAAGTCACTCATGCTAACAATTTACACTACTGACAAATCATCTTCCAGTTTCTGTAACCCTGGTCCGTTGGTTAGAACTAGACAAAGACCAGGAAGACAACAGATTTCTGTTTCCTTCTGGCTCTAGCCAAAAATCCACCCCCCCAGCTGCCTCTGCTGTGGCAGATGGCAAGAAGCCATTCACTGCAGGCACAGACAGGATGATCACAAAGGCCTTTACTACTGTTTTGTAAAAGAAATGAGGATGTAGATCAACCACCAATTGCATAACTATGGCAGTGTAAAGGTGCTGTTCTGAAGCCTCTCTTTGTAGACTCTACAGCAGACTGTACAGGTAATGGAAAGTCATTTTATTTGACATATACAACATAGAAATGATAGCCTACTTGAGAAGTTGAATAGATGTTTTCCCTCCCCTGCTCCAGTAAAACTGAGAGCTTGGCTGGCTGTGTGTGGCTCAATCCATCTAATTTATTTCATCATCCCTGAGGACCTGTGGAATTGTATCAGCTCCATTAAGTTTTAAAATATTGAGAGACTCAAACTTGGAGTGCAATGTTTCTAGCACAGAGATTTTAGAGATCAAAACAAATAAGGAGACTAAAAAGTATCATTAGTAGAAGATGAAAGTGGCAGTCTGTTGGCAGAACCATGTTAACAGCAGTAACCTGTAAACTGACTTTTACCCTGTTCAGAAAATCCCTCGGGGTATTTTACCATTTAATGCTACATGCCAATCCCTAACAGCAAGATACATTTTAACACTGATAACATTCTTAAGCAGCTCAAGAAGTCAGTTTAACCTTGGGTAAAGTAATTTCTAGGGTCATGCTGGATTCTCTTTCATACCTTGTGGATATAGCTACATCCACTCTCCACTTGAAGTCCTGGACACTTGGCAGCCTACTTTTTTGTATCAGTGCTGTGCCTTCGAAAGCAGGACGCCTACAGAGTAAATCAGAAATGGGAGACTGAGATGCAAATTCATAAAAGAAACAACAATCTAAAGAGAAAATAAGATTCCTCAGAACAAACCTGTCCAGAATTTATTTCTCTCCTTCATCTATTCTCATTTAGAGAGGTCTGAATGAGTGGAGGTTTTGTGTATTTAAAACAGCTGTGTTCAGATTAATGACTTTTCCTACACTTAACTACGGTCCAAGTTAAAAAAAAGAGACCAAGTGACTCTATGTAATTCCAGTAAACTGATGTTGCTATAAAGTTTAGTAAGAGGCATTGTGGTGGCTGACATATCTGTTAATTATATGCATCTGTGAGGCATAGAAAGGGATCTGCAAATATATCTTTACCTTCATGCAGATCCAACAGGAGCAAGCAAGCAGAAACAAGACAGATGACTTGAGCAAAAAAGTTGGAATAAGGTCACTGTGCTCATTTAGCAGAAGGCATTTAGTATTAGCAAGCAGTAATGTTTTAAAATATAATATTAGAGTGTACTTTGAAGCATACTTTTAAAAAAATAAAATCACACCACGGTTCATGATAATCAAATATAATTTACAAACTAAGTTCCTTACATAATGTTCACTGCCAACCCCTGCAGAACCTTCAAGGTTTTTGTCTAGTCTAATGTGTAAGAAGCCAGAGACTTTATTTATTACTAATATTGCAGGAAGAATCAGGCTGATAAAGCCTCAGTTTATTTCTGCAAGGAAATACAGTTGACAGTGATTAAACTTCAGATGGTTGACAATCTTTAAAATTTTAACAGCATCTTAAGCTCCTGGTAAGTAAACAAGCCAATTCTGATATAAACACATAACAACCACCCATTTTTAGATATATATGCAGAAATATCCTCAGAATGAGGTCACTCAGCTGGTCCACGCACGAGCTAGTCTGGACATCATGTTACTTACCTTTTTTTTTTTTTTTTTTTTTTTTTTGCTAAGCATCCAATGTCACTGGAAGTTATTTATGGTACATTTCAAAGCTACTCCAGCACTCCCGCTAAGGGCAAGATAAGAAACGTTACATCCTTTATCTATAGTGCTAGACATAATCTAATTACAGACTCTACATCAGAAAGGAATCCTCTCTGAACAAATCAAGGACTGTAGGAATGATAGTCTAACATCCCTACTCAGATTCTTGTGTGCAAGTTAGCTGGTGCCTGTAGAAACTGCCCAGAAAGATTAATGATTTGATAAGGTGCACAGGACTGACAAGCTGAGATCCTCTAATTCTCTTGCATTTAGCAAAGGCATTACAAGAAAGAAGTTATCCTTTTTGTGTGGGGTGGTTGCGTGGTGTCAGAAGTGACACAGAATCCTAATAGTATGGTAAAGGAATGAGCAGAAAAAACAGATCAGCTGTTCTTACTGTCAACTGCTGGACAGGAAGTAGGGCACCACAGCTGGGTGCAACCATGAGGAGCTAGAGTTTAGGACAGTCATGAGCAGGACTAAGCAATAAGAACAGGCCCTTCCCTCAGTGGCGAGCTGCTGCCCAAGTATTGCTTAATTTGGGGAATGCCTAAAAATAGCCACACTGCTACCGCTTCCTTAAGACACGCTAACTCCCATCAATGGAAGACAGTCCATTCTGTGCAGCACCAGCATTTTGGGGGAAGAAAGACTGAGAAAACAGAAGATGTTCTAGTTAGTGGTGGTGGGAAAGGTCAGTAATGCCCAAACAGAGGGGAAGCTTGTGAATATCGTTAAGCTATGGCATTTCTACGGCCAAACCACAATGCTTTAGTTCTGGTCAGGACTGCACTTCAGTACCATTCCCTCAGAAAGAGTTGCGGCTTTTACAGTTTACTTAAAGCTTCTGTTAGCACCTTCCCAGCTCGGACAAGATCACAGCTGGAACTGCAAGAATCCTTTAAGGATGACAGAATGTGCATAATGTCCAACATACATACAGAAATTATACAGGCCATTAATCAAGCCATTGATTTCTAAGTGGAATAGCAAAATGGAGCAGAAAAGACTCAATTGATTTGATATCCAAAATCTATGGACTATAATTACATTTTGTAAACACTCTGTGCCAACAGCTGCAATACACTGTCAGTACATAGTGCAGAAGGCAAGTTAGAACAAGTAAAGCACCACAGATCTACTAGAGACCATCTAAATTATATGTCAAAAGGATGATACACCTGGTGACAAGAACATCATTTGCCAAAAGATTCAAAAGAAGAGCACTCAGAAATGAAAGATTAGGAAATTTGGAGCAGCAGTTGACCTAACAATATCAAAACTAAAGACAAATTCTGGATGGTTCCCTATGCATGTAACAAGTCATGCCTAGCAGGCCACTGAACAGGGAGAATGAGTAAACTGGTATGTGTGAAATGCTGACAAATGGCACAGAGAACTCACCCTCCTGGTAGAAATGAAGGCTATGCTATTTAAAAAAAAAAAAAAAAAAGCAGTATATTTATTATAAACATTCAGGGAGGGAGAAGATAAGGTTATCATTTTCCTTTAAAAAAAGTTTTAATTTCATGCAATTAGTAAATTTTTTCTTTCCCTTCAGTCTACATAGCTTGATGGAACTGTGGGGACACAGAAATACAAATGTCAAATTTCCAGTACTTCAGAGCTGTTGTTTAGTGAACAAAATTGCAAAAACAGGGTAAGATGACAGGAAAAGTATTAAAAATGGATTTTTCTGGGTTATTTAGCTCATACTGAATTTTTGATCAGATGCTAATACTTCCTTACCATCACAATCATATATATTTACAACTCAGTAACTGTATGTATGATTCAGTGTTACATTTAAGACTATAAAAGCAGATCTGTCTGGAAATCAAATCTGAGGTGCTCTTCTTTGGTCTCAAAACACAGAGCAAGATTACACTGGGTAATCACAGCTTTCAAAATCAGAAAAAGCTAAATTTTCCAGCATCGTGATTTCACAGTAGAAAACAGACAATCATGCATGCTTCAAATGACATCTAAATTTATCTTCTTTCTCCACTGCAAACAATATTTCCACTTTGCAACCATGAATTTTGCATTCTTAACACCTATAATTCAAACAGAAGAGCAAAGAAAAGATGAGAAGGCTGAATTTATTTTTACTTCAAGAACCTTTTGCTTTAAGCCAAGATCCTAACCAAGGAAATGAAAAATATTTTTAACTCTGGTAGCAGCATTCAGACTCTTATGAGGGTAACCGAAGTACCACAACTGTGATTATCAGGATTCCATGCAGAATATCTGGAGCAGCGTTGGGTTAGTGATGCTATGTGCTGAGTGACCTCAAATTTCAAGGAGGGAAGTTTTGCATATGCAAGAGGTTCAAGCAATTTCTAGATGTAGAATAAGCTAAAGATGGTTGAGCAGAGAACCATACAGAAAAAAGGAATCCCTAGAATGGAGAAAAGAGATAGGCTGTTCAGAAAGTTCTTGATTTAATACTTTGTCTGGAGCTACTGTGGCATACTGCTTAGAAAATGAATTACAGCTAGGACAGCACTTGATATCTCATATGTGTCAAGTCACCCAATGTGAATTCCCAATTCAATTGTACACTAAGACTTGATTAAACACCATATGAGAAAGCTTCCATGAACCATAGCACATAGAAACAATATGCAAGGTTGACTTGCCTCACAACAAAGCAAGTCTTTCACTTTTGCTCTAACTTGCAATGATAATGATGATAAAAATGCTTAATTCTGCAGTGCGTTTTTCATCTGTAGGTATTGATGTACCTTACAGAGTTTACAGAACATTATAAAAACTGAGGGGTGATGATCACAGAAAAATTGAAAATTGGCATGAAAGCTACTTACTGCATATATAGCGATACATGATGGACATCATGTTATATTGAATAAAATAATGGGACAAATCTTGTTCTCATTAATTTAGAGAATTTTGCTGTTCCTTCAATAGGCATGGGATTTCTGACAGCAGAGCTCTGTGCAGCCCTGCTGGTTGCACAATGCATTATACATGAAGATACTAACCTGTTACCAAAGACTATACTGGAAAAGTCCACAATGAAATCTTCTGGTATCCTTAAAGAGAAGAGCAATAGGAAATAGTTAAGTGTTTTGTAACCATAAATACATGGCCTTAGATTAAAAAAAAAAAAAAAATTATCTATTATAGAACACAGAAAATGTGTCAACTTTTTCCATCTTCCATTGCTTAAAATTGCCATCAGCTCTTACGTAAGCACTTCAGTATTGATTCAGCCTAGGGTCCCAAAAGGACAACCTATGTTTTTATATCAAGAACCCTAAAAACTGTATTACATTTTCCTGTCCTACGTAATATGGCAACAGTGAGTTTCCAAAGAATCCGGTATTTGCTTAACTTCTCTCAGTAAAGTCAAGAAAAGTTTTGCTGATGGCTGTGACAAGTGCAGAAGGCAGGCCTAGCAATGCATGCTTTCAGAAATCCTAAACCTACACGTTATTTCACTTTCACCTGAAGTGTAATTTAAAGAAGACAGAATGTATTGCTCCCTCAAAAGTAAAAATAGAAGTCCTTGTAGCTAAAATCACTTACAAAAGGAGCATATCTAACACGGGGAGGACAAGCATAAATTTGACAGGGACCATGAGAATTGGTTGCAAAGCCTAACTCGCATTCCATCCACTCTATGCCTCTCCACTATTTTACCATTCCTCTGACACTGTTGTTGCCTTACAAACAAGCTGCTGTTGATTTTCAGTTCAATATATCAGGCTGTGAATTGCAAAGACTGCAGAGCAAACACTACCCATTCAGCTGCCTTTGCCACAGGGACAGTAACCTCCTACAGAGAGGCAGGCTGGACAAGTGGCAAAAGTAACTACTTCTGGTGCCACAGTTAAATCCAGCACTCAGTATGAATCAGTGCCCAGAGACATTACTCAGCAGTGGCTTGAGAAACACAGCGGTATAACAAAGAAAAAATCAAAGCAAACAAGGAAGTTACCTGTCTTAAAGGGCTTACAGTGTCTAATGATGGGAGAAAAAACAACTCATCAACTCACACAGTAGGAAGATGAAACATCTGTTATTAGAGCTTGAATTCTTAATGGAAGAATGGGGTTAAAACACATTTTTAAATGGTGCTTGGATAAAACTGAATTCATATTAGCAAGGTAGTTATCTGAGGCAAACTGGGAAGTGAGGAGGAGGGACTAGAGAGTGGTTTTTTGGCTGCATGTGTCTGTCTTCCTTTCAGAAGAGTCAAGACCCTATTTCTCCAGACATTACTTATACTTTCCATGCAAGTTTATCACTTAACCCATCCTGATGATGACTGAATATCCTCTGTATGTAGTGGAATAGCTGGAGACAGGGGGATTGTAATATGATTATGATACCTATCACAATACTTGCTCAATTCTAAGAGCAAGCGTTACTAAAACGGAAGCATTAACGCTACCTTGGAACTTGCATTATTTTTGCTGTGCAGTTAATGACTTTGATGAAAATTCTGTTCCTGGCTCAAGCAGCTTACTTACACAAGGCCAGTCATACACTAAGCAGATCAGACACAGAGCATGGCACAGCTCAGGCCAGAGCTACAGATGGCAATCAGTTTTCAAAGGAACGTTCTGAGGAGTGGAAGGCAAGAGCAAGGAAGAAGGTGTGAAACTGTCTCAATCCCATGTTATTGGCCTAATCTGTACAGTTATTAAACAGCCTGAGAGGGGAGGGAAAAAATAGCACCCACAACCTAGAATGAATTTATTCTCACTGGCTCAGCCAATCAGGCCAAGAAACAGGGGATACAGAATGGCAAACCTGTGAAACCAGTAGTACTGATCTAATTATCAGAAGTGGGCATGTCTCCCAGCTTCTCTCTCCACCAAAACTAGAGGCCAAGACCAGCTGCATCACCAGGAAATTGAGACTTCCAAGACTTTATATGGGTGGAATTAGTCCAATCTTCAGCTTCACTGAAGGAAACAAAATAGAATGCAGGAGAGGTAGAAAAATAAGTAACTTGTCTCAGAGCTCAAACCTTTTAAAAGAAGACACAACAAAAAAAAAGGGAAATGGGCCATTTTTCTGCCTTAAAATGCAAAATATCTGCCCAAACACTGGGTGCCAATAATGCCAAGACACTGCTGTTCAACCAATTACATGTGTTCTTCATGCACATGATCACAGGATGACCCACAAGGAATCACTGCAGAAGGATAAGTGTCTGAATGTAATTAGTAGGTGCCTTAAAAACAAACAGGTATTTCATCTCCAAACTCAAGTGCATTAGGAAACATAGGAAATTACATTTCCCATAGTAAATTTGGTAGCACCTTTAACATCTTCAATTCCTAAGTATCATAGCTTTAGAGTAGAATAAGCTATTTGGTCTTCTAAAAGTTTAGCCACAAGGTGAGGTGAAAAGAGCTACTCACAGGAAATAAGACTGTCAGAGATGGAAGTTAGGAAGAGTCCCAATAATGTGAGAATCATGGGAGCAGAACAGCAACGAGCAGCACATAAAACATATAAGTCTGCAAGCAACACAAATGCAGTTACCGGAACTATTGCTGCTATATCACTCATGTTAACCAAAACAACAAGATAAAAAAGATTTATCAAGATACAAAAGATATAAAAAAAAAATCATCCAAACTGAAAAGTGTCTTCATCATTCCATGAATAAACCATAAAGTGAAAAAAAAAAAAAAGCAAAAACAACCCAAACCAACTACAAGTGTGTAAGGCATTAAAGTGTGGCCAAATGACAGGGGCGCCTAGGAGTCTGTATTTCTAGATCCAGCCAGTGACTTCTGGCACTCCTGTATACCAAATTTCTCCACTGCTCAATAGAGGAATATTCACCCACCCCAGAGAACTTGGCATGGAGCTTTCAGTGCTCTTCATTATTCCTTAATCACACTGAACACATTCTGTGTGCACCATAAAAAACACCAACTCCCACTGGGTCAAAAGCAATTCATCAGTTTCTTACTGACCTACTTTAACCTGGGTGTGAACTCCATGACGTGGCAGAGGAAGCAGCTTGCATTTTAGCTCACAAGACAAAAGGCAGGCCAAACTCCAGCACTGAGCTGCAGACAAAATTGTATCAACTAACAAGGAACCTTTCATCATGGCCCCAATTACACCTTTCACCGATTACACGTCTAAATCTGCAGCTTTAATTTGCCTCAAGTTGTTCATAAAGTAAATTATGTTTATGACTCTGCAGAACAGCCACTGTGCACGTTAACGGACAAATAAGGATGAAAACCGACACAATTAGAAATATATCTATCTGTTTCTCCTAGGTAGCAATCAGAATGCTAAGGATTATGGGAAATAAGCATTTTAAAAGAATTGATCCTTGGTGCATAAGTTTCTCTATAGATGAAAACATTAACTGCTCATTGCTACTGAATATGGAAATAAGGGAAAACCTCTAAATATTATTAGCATCTGATGTCTAGCTCTTAGCATATGGACTTTTATTCAGAGATAGTAAAAATCTGTATCATACTGCTCAAAGCAAGTCTGTAACAAATGTTATGTTTTCTTGAGTAATGGGCCAGAAAGATCATAGCTGAACAAGGTGGTATGATTTCATGAGCATTATAACATTGGCCTTTCAAAGAAGAAAAAAAAGTAGGGCAGTTTCTTAGCTCCTGAAATGTTACCACTGTCTTACTAAACTTGTTAAAGAGTATTGCAGGGCAAAGTGGGGATGGCAGTGAGAAGGTCACTCACATTTGCATAACCTACATTACGGACTAAATTAGACCAATCTCCCCAGCATGTGAAATTTACTGCTCATGCTCAGTGTTAAATCAAGTCTTACACAACAGCTGTTTTTTTCCTCTGGCTTCATATGATATTTGCCAACAGATGTATTATGCGTTATTTACAGGTAATTTTTATACCAACTTTGTGTGTCAAGAGCTGATTTGGGGAAGCAGTTATATAAAAGTTATGAAAAAACAAACAGATTAAAAAAAACAGGCATACCTGAGCTCCTTTAAGTCTTCCTTAAAAACCTAGAAAGACAAGGAAGGTGAAATTTTACAGGATGTAGTCTTGAAAGATCATTTCTTACCTAGTGAATTAATAGTGGTTACTTGCTTGGTATCTCTCCCCAAAAGTTTTAGTCTCTGGTGCCAGTAGTTTTGAAATGACAGGTTAAATATTGAGAATTCCCAGAAGCGTTCAGTCAAGTTATGAGAAACTAATTTTAAAGACCTAAGTCTCTTGGAAGCCTTTAGTTTTGAGAACAATATTCTTGCCATTTCTTTTATGTAGCTATCCACAACACATTCTTCTTTTAGAGTAATTACGTGGTCTTATTCTCAAATATGTTTTGCAGTAACTTGTTTAAACTATGACAACAGAATGGAAGTGGCAAAAGATAAACTCTGAATAACACAAGCATACTTTCACTATGTTTCCTGTAATATATGAGCTTTCCCGGTATGCCTGGGTAAATAGGAAAACAGTATCTTAAACAAGAAAGAGGTGTTGGATGCCCAGAAGTGGTTCACTCACATAAAAATAAAATGAGAAAAGAAAAAATGTAAGGTAAAGTAACATGAAAAAGGAAAGCAAATAGCCATGAAGAAGTGATAGGGGTTGGGAACATGGCAGATGTATACATATTCACACAAAACATCCATAACATAAGCAGAAATAGCACTTTCTCCTGATTTCCACTATATTGTTCTGGCTGTAAGACCTTCCTTCATCTATGGAAGAAGCACGAAAAAATGCAGGCAAACAAATATGAGAAATTTTAAGTGTGGACAAAGTAATTGGTGTGTGTGAAAACACAGTTAGGGTGAGAGAGAGAGTTGATGCCAATGAAATTACACTTTGCAATGGTTTCTTTTGGGGTTTTAATTTAAGAACGAAAACAAACAAGATGTTGAAGCAGAAAAAGATACAGGAATGTCTTTCCCAAAGCTTCAATAGTCTTCCAAAAATCTCACTGTAAATCTACCCAACAAATAAGATAATAAGCTCTAGATTTTTAACAGTTTTTTCCACCCACTTTAACTTGGAGCAACATTTTTATGTGCAGCTCCCCACCCTGGCAGATAGGGTTTCAATGGTAACTCATCTGACGCAGCTTTTGACTTAGCAGGACTCCAAGTACTCCCAGAACTCACTTCTTGTTTGAAAGTTGATAAGGGGAGTCTCAGTGCTTCTCGGAGAAGGGTATACATGCCAGAAATGAGGAAAGCAAGTTGCTCTTCTGAGAGATTAGTGCTTTCTGCAATCAGCTTGACAGACTCCTTGCAGTCTTTTCCTTCCAATGCATTAACAGTGACTGTGAATAAGAAAGCAAAGCAAGATCCCTTTAAAAAAAAAGGAACGCCTGGAGACTGTGAACATTAACATACACATGTCTATGATTTTACTTGACTTAAGGTACCAACATTTTTCAGGATGTGAAATTGCCACTGCAGGTGTCTCTAAATACCTCTGATCATCCACCACCACAGGTCAGTCTCGCAACACTTTACTAAGAGAATTTCAATGGATTAAGCTTTTGCATTGTAAAATTGAAGATGTTTTCATGTTGAAATTCATTCCAGTGGGATAATGCAAAAAAGATAAAAAAAAAATTCATCGCTTACAAGTACAAATCTAACTTGAGCTTCTATCAACAAACTTGCTCATATCAGAAGTCTGCTTACAGCTTCATTACACTTCTGATACACAGGATAAAAGAGGATTGAGAGAGTAAACAATTCAACACTGTTCTCCAACATTTTATAGAATTCATTTATCTTGCAATGTCAGCAGAGACTAAGGATTAAATGAGCAAGGAAACAAAACTAAACCTTCAAGTCTTGTAGTCTGCACAACTGCTGATAATACAACCTTTAAAGGAAATTACTGTTAACCCATGTGGCAATATTATACACTAATAATTGGTGTGGGTTTATCTCAATCTCAATCTTCATCTCAATCTTCATGATTTGGTTATTCTTCCCTTTTCCATATATGCACTGGCTTATATAAACTTCTGTTGTCATGTCAGCCTCTGTCCTGCACTCTAATCAGTCTTGAGGGACTGCTGGAGCCACAGCAAGCCCCACTGTGGATAAAAAATTAAGATTACTGACACAATCCCATTGCAGGATCAGGGCATTAGATTAGTCATTTATAATGAGCCATATTAGTGCTGTGAATAAAATGTGGGAAGTTAAAAATGTCCACCAAGTGTTACTGAAAGCCAACACTAAGAGATTGGCTTAATACTAATGTTTGGGGGAAAAAAAAAAAAAAAAAAAAAAAAAAAGGAAGAGTTTTAATCAAACTGCCAGCCTTACTTTTGATATTAGGTGAGTTCCACTGGCCACTATCTTGAAATTCTGGATAAATTCTCTTTGCTTTTCACATTTTTAAATGCACACCAAATTCAATGGAAAATCATGGATTATTCAAGTGGCTGACTGAATTTGTCTGGCACTATCTGCATGGCAGATTTCGCACAGCTTAGCCAGGGTGTGCAAGGTGCTAGTACCAAGCTTTCCATGCTGTCTGAAAAAGGCTCTGCTCCATGACAACAAAACTGACTTTGAGAAGAATCTACTCAAAAGGCCAAATACAGATCAGCACTGAGGTCTGCCTACTAGATCATGCACTGGGCAGGAAACAGGCTCCTGTCTACTTACCTACTTAAATACAACTCTGATCTGTTTCTTCAAAGAACAACAGATTGCTTATAGTTTTTAGCTAGACAGTTTTAATGACAATATTGGTCTTCCTTCTGTTGACCAACCCTAATAACTGGCTAAAAATCCATGTCTTATTTTTTAGCCTACTTGCATTACCCTTGAATACAAGATTTTTTACTCAGTATAGCTCTGGGAACTCAGAAATATCAGCTGTACCAACATTTCCAACTGTCAGTCTGAGGGAGAAAAAAACAGAATAACCCCAAAACATCCTAAGAAAATCTCACTACTGGATCATTTGCTCCTAGTAGAGGATTTCTGTGGTCTCAAACTTACACTTGCAGTTCAGCAGAGCCCCCAGTAACACTGGCTGGATAACACTGAGATAATGGTATATGCAGTTTTTACACTGTGAACTGAACAGGCTATGAAGCAGCATCTCATTTTTTATATTAGTTATTGTTTAGCAACAGGGTAACAGCAAGAGTCTTGAAAAACTAACTTAGTGCAAGTGCCAGAGCAATTTAGATATACTCTGTTGAAATCCATCATGTCTTCAAAGGCTACTAAACCTTCAAAGGCAAAAAAAAAAAAAAGCTGCTGTCCTGCAAGCTGTTAATCACAGACCAGCAAGAGCAGAAGCCGACTGGTGATTTCTGCCTGCGGTAGGGTCACCTGCCCTGGCTTCAGGTGGTTGAGGAGGACTGTTTGCTCCCTCTACAGTGGGAAGCATTTATTGCACACCTAAATGTAGGCTGTAATTTACACTGAAATTAAACCCAGACGGGGTTTAGAAGACGGTCAGGTCTTCCTGGTACCAACACAACTTTTTGGCTTCAATTGTCCCTGTGCTAGACAGCAAATATGGTTCAACATCTGCATTTACTTTTGTCCTAAATGCCTCTGCCTATATGTAGCTTTATTACTTTTAATTACTGTAGGGAAACTCTGCATACATTGCTCCATTTCTGACACTGTGCAGCGGCACTTTTAAAGACAAACCAGCTACCAGATGCTTTGACTCCTTAGTGACTCAAACCGAGGAAAAAACGCCAGAGAGGAGGTTGGCTGGGAGAATGGTCCCAGCACCATGCCATGCTGTGCAGCAGTTGGCCACAAACAAGCTGTGCTTTTTCTCTGCCAATCAACTCTTAGATTATTCTGTGATTATTTTGCATATAATAATTTACTTCAGCGAGGGACTCTGACTCTGGTGGTCAAAGATACCTTGAGAGAATCTCGCCCCTCTTGCCTTACCACTGGGAGAAACCTCACCGACAAAAATCAATTCAATGCATCTTTTTCAATCTTAGAGCCCCAACTTCAGTAAGATACCTGCACTTTGAGGTTCTTTTATTTTCTCCTGAAAATGTTTCTCTTATGAAAATAGCCATGGGGCCTCTGACTGTCACATGCCCTACACAATCTCCCAGTGACTTAACCACTGGCTCTGGGACCGAGGGATTAGAGGAACGATTTTAACAGTGCTCCGTGTGAGCTTGTGGGCCAGCCATAGTTTCAAGAGCTCACACCTCGTTCTCACAGAGTTTACAGAATTTTAGACTACAGCGAAGAACACCCGTCACTGTATTTAACCCTCAGCTTTAGCTTCCTGGAGGAAAAAAACAAAGGGAAGCGTGCCAGGAGAGCTGCAGCCCAGCCCACGCACGGCCGAGGGGAGCGATGCCCCCAGCCGCCTTTGCCTTCCCGAGAAGGACCCACGGCTGCCCCGAGGAAGCGGGCGCCCGCCCATCGGTGCCGGCGGGGCCATCCCTCCCGTTCCCCCGCGCCGGGGCAGCGGAGGCTCCTCCCGCGCCCGCACGCCGCAGGCGGGCCACGCTGGGGCCCTTACCTTTGAGGAGCCGCCGGAAAGTCTCCTTGCCCACGTCCTGCACGCCCCGGGCCATGGCCTCCACCTCGGCCGGCACCCGCGGCCCCAGGAAGCCACCGCGGCCGCCGCCGCCACTCTCGCCGTGCCCGCCGCCCGGCCCCGCCGCCTTGCCCGCCGCCGCCATCTCAGCACGGCCCCGCGCCTGGGCCGCCCTCCGCCGCGGCAGGGGGCGCTGTGCCGTCCCGCCGCCGGAAGGAGCCCGCCGCGAGCCTGAGGCGCATCCCGGGACCGGGCGCTGATGGCGGCGCTGGCGGCTCGCTCGCTGCGTGCGTGAGGCGTCCGTCTCCTCCTCCTCCTCCTCCTCGCCGCTGCCGGGCTGTGCCGGAGCCGGTCCCGCTCCCGCCGCCATGACCGAGGAGCCCTACGAGAAGTTCCTGGCCCCCGAGGAGCCGTGCCCGCTGCTCTCGCACCAGCACCCGCCGCGGGGCGGCAGCTTGAGCCTGAGCGAGGAGGGCTGCCTGGACGTCAGCGACTTCGGCTGCCAGCTCTCGTCCTGCCACCGCACCGACCCGCTGCACCGCTTCCACTCCAACAGGTCCGCCCGCGGCTCCGCGGGGCCCCCCGGCCGCCGCCCACCCGGCGGAGCGAGGCGGCCGGGTGATGCCGAGGGGCGGCCGGGCCGGGGCTGAGGCGGCGGCTGCCGCCCCTCGCCGGGGACCCGCCGGGCGCCGGGGCCGGAGACGCCCGTGCGGGAGGGCCGCGCTGCCTCCCCGCGCTCCCCTGCCCGGTCCGAGCCCGGGAACGGCTGCGCTCCGGCGGGTGCGTCCCGCAGCCTCATGCCGCTTCCCTTTGGCAGGGCGGCGTGCGAGCTCGGGCTGGTGTTGGCTGATGACAGGACAGTTGCTAGTGTGAGCTCGATCGGTTTTTAAGATGCGTTTATTCCTTCCCAAATTTCTTAAAACGCAGTTCTGAGCACTGTAGGATGGCCAACTAGAGAGTGGTGGTGGGGGGTGGTGTATAATAATTAAAAGCAGGCCTTGTGTCGACACCAAGCAAACCTGTGAAGGTTCAGAATGAGTCAGGCGGCTTGGTGACTGCACTGATTCCTGCAGAAACATTTCCATCCCATGCTCCTAATTAAGGGCAAATTATTCTGTCTGTAATTTGTAGAAAAAGTCTATTCTAAAAATGCCATGCAGCTCCACAAAGAAATGCCAGTTGTGGTTATAATATCAAAACCACAGCCGTGCTTACCTAAGACCCTAATTCTGCTACTATTTATGCATGGTATTGAACTTATATAGCTTTTTTTTGAGAACAGTTTGTGAGATTTCAGTCTTGAACATATGTGTGGGATAGTTTTAGTTCCTGTTCCGGAGTTGCAAGATGTTTTTACTAGCTGTTAGTGTTTCTACTACACCATAATGAATAGTGAATAACAAGGTAATTTTTCAATTGAATTTTGTGGTATCATGGAAATTACACTTTAAAAGTGTCATTCACAAGGGCAAGCTCGTAATTATTGATTCTTAAATGATTCAGCATGAAGAGCATTGATCAAATATGGTACACTTTCATGATCTGGTTCTTACATGGTAAGACCCAATTGTGACATGAACAGTAAGATGTATTTGTAGCATAGAGGTAGCATAAAAGTGTGATATTCACCAAATTTGTATTTAATTAATTTTGTAAGTTTCTCTTTGCATTGCCTTTCACTTCCCAAGTGCCTTATTCAGGCTCGCACATTTTACAAACCCAGGTTTGTAACCCAGGCATCTTGAATGGGTATTTCCCCTCTTTGGGCAAGGACATTCCCTGTCTTGCAGTGATTAAGCCCTTGCAGATGCACAGTTCAATCTGTGGTGTTCACATAAGGCTTTCTATTTTTTAACGTTACAAGTCATTTTAATGTAGTTACCACTTGTTGTTAATCCAGTTCACCCCAGCAAGTCCAGCAGGGCCCCCTAGGTAGGGGAAGGCAAGGGCTGACCGCCCCTGCCTGCAAAGATACTGCATACCTGGAGTACCTGTGCGTAGTTGGTTGGTGGTAGAGCCCTTATACCTCATCCTGTGTTTTGATGGGTCTGGAAACTTTGTCTACTCTATCTTTCCTTTCCTCAGTATTTCATGACTATTGAAACTAGTAATGTTCAAAAGCATGCTGTGTGACCATGCTCATATTCTGGTCTATACTGATTGATTGCCCTGCCCGCAAAAGTCTGTACCAGTAAAACATCACAGATGTGTAAAAGATGTGGAAAGGGAGGGAGGGCAAGATCTGAATCTGCTAAAAGAAAAGTTTTTGAAACCTCTTTAAGGTTGGATCAGTTCACAGCTGGCCAAAAAGATGTGGGCATGCGTCCATCACAAACATATTTAGCCAGCCTGGTATGCAGTTTAAATAACAATGGTGACAACCAGCCTTTCTGGATGATGGCATTGCTCAGCTTTTGCAGTTGGATAGAGGAATGTTTTTGTAGTTAGCCAGGCTGAAGGGGATAGGCTGATGGAACAGGGGTTGATCGCATGGGTTTGTGCAGTGAATGTTAGAAGCCCTTTTCAAATTGTTTTGGCCGTATTGCAGTGCTGTGCTGACTCATAGTTGTCTCGACCTACTTTTCACCAATATGTAAAATAAATCCAGATATGGAGTCTGATTTCATGAGCTTGTTAAATTCTGGCTTACTGTCATTAGAGTAAAAAAACCTGTTCTGTGAAGTTTGAGTCCTCAATTTCTTTCCTTTAGCAACAGCATTAACTAGCCTTTTAAATGAAATTATGAGGGGGGGGGAAAAAGTGTCTAGTTTTGGCATGGTGGCATCTTCACACAGGTTACTTTCCCATCTTGCGCTATCTCATTCCAACAGCATGTCCAATATTTTTGGCATTCAGAGTTGAAATCAGTGAATAATGGAGCCTTGAGTATATTCATAATGTGTTTCCTTTTTAAGCTTTAGTTTTATGTGGGATTATCAACCTAGGATTTCTTTTTGACTCCTACTTGCCCTGAAGGCCAGTTGATTTACTTCTGAGTTTCGCTTATTTCAATTTACATGGAAATTTAAATATCCTAACATATGGGAAATGATATTTTTAGTTCAGTATAGTTAAAAAAAATGCCAGTTCCCCCTCCTCCCGAAAAAAGACAATTTACAGACTACAAGAATCATGGCTTTGGGGTGGAAACTATTAATATATTAAAATAAAGTCGTAATTATATTAACTGTCTATGGATTTTTGCCTTGCCTTTCTTAATGCTTTCCATTTGATGTTGTTTATGGACCTTTAAAAATATTTTAAAATCGAATACTTCATTTTACATAATTATAACTTATTTCAATAAAATCGATGTGTAATGTTACTGGCAAGCAAAGTGGCGATAGTTTTATGAAGCTTAAAAGAATGTTTCAGCACTCATGATGCCAATATGTTTGCTGCTTTCTATTTGTTTTGTCCTGTTTTGCAGGTGGAACTTGACATCTTGTGGAACCAGCGTAGCCAGCTCAGAGTGCAGTGAGGAGCTGTTCTCATCAGTTTCAGTTGGTGATCAAGATGACTGTTACTCTCTATTGGATGATCAGGAGTTCACCTCTTTTGATTTGTTCCCTGAGGGTAGTGTCTGCAGTGATGTCTCTTCTTCTATCAGCACATACTGGGATTGGTCAGACAGTGAGTTTGAATGGCAGGTAAACTAGTTCCACAGTAAATGTAAAATTTTGTTTAGACTATTAAGTGCTGGGTTTAGCTTTAATTTAAAAGTCCTCAGCATTTGTTTCTTGGTAACTAGTGAACGTAAGAGCAGATATCTGAATCTCCAGCAATAAAGAAAATTGTTTGCTCCATTTTGTTCCAGCGTTCTTAGTCTGGAGGAAAGACTGAATGTCAGCTCTTCAAAGAGGGATGCTTAACTATCATGGTAGTTTGGGTTTAGTGACGTGTGTCGTGTAGCCATGAGCCTAGATCCTTTGTACTGAGGATCTGCCCTGATAATGAAATCTGGTTATAGATGTCTGCTTCCAGTGATTTAGTATTATTAAGCCTTCCTTTGGAACAGAGCTGGCATGTAGGTAAAGTGTAGAAGCTCTTGCCCTAGCCTGTTTCCCTCTTTTTTTTTTCTGTGCCAGTGAGAGTACAGAGCTCAGTTTGTCTCACCAAGATGGGAAAAGTGTGACGGTGAATCACAACCTCCTTTTTCCTAGTCTGTATTGGATGCAGTTCTGGTCAGGTATCTCTAGTTTGTGGTAGTGTTCTTTGTTCAGCAGTTTTTCAATTGCAATATGCAAATCTTTTTATATATTATAGACTTAAATTGACTTTTTATATTGTAGACTTAAATCAACTCTGAACATATACATAACTGAAATAGGAAACATGGTGCTTCAGAATACACTGAGGAATATCTTTAAATTTTGTCATAAAGCTTAGTCAAAGCATGTACAGAGTCTTCTAAGTGCAGTATAAGGACTGAAAACACCAATTTCAAGAAAGTGCAAATCCTGTTCCAGAAGATGCAAATGGACTTATATGTATGTGAAATAACATGGACTGAAATTAACTCTGAATTTCTTACTGTTTTAGTTTAACTGCTAGTCTCTATGTATATTATATCACAGAAGTTACAAGTGCATTTATATAACACAGCCTGTAGGAACAACTCAGATGGGATCCCAAGGAGTCGGTTTCATTGAGTTGTGAAATTTCAATTGCCTGATAAACTCAGCAATTGTTTTGAAAAGAAGGAATTTCTCACGTCTTAATTAACTGACAGCACGTTTGATTAGTAACTAGCTTTTTTTTATTATTCTTTGTTTTTTAAAACAAGCATTGCTTAAGAGACATACTTGATGAGACTTAGAGAATTTTAGAAAGACCTTTTTGTAGCTCTTTATGGTGTTATCTGTCAGAATCTGAGCATGAGTAATCCAACTGTCACACTTTAACTGAAAGTGCATTCAGAAATTGCATGTCAGTTGTACAAATGAAGCTAGCTAAAGTTCTGCAGTTGCTTCCAGGAAAATGACAGTGATTTTAATTGAATTGTCTTGTGTAATTATGGTGTGTGGTATAAATTATAAACCTACTTTGAAATGATCTTCCTTAAACTAGACTTCTGCTTTAAAATGGGAGGTTCTGATTTAGGTTTGGATTGTAATGGACAATTTACACTGGTGGAGAAGGGGAACAGTTGAAACGCCACAACATTCTGCTGTTTCCTTAAATGCTAATTTTTTAAAAGAGGATTGATAAGTAGAAAATATAGTGCGAGTTGAGTTTGCTGCACTTGCTGGTTGTTGGAAGGTTCAAAGGAATGCTGTAAGGTTATGAGTAATCATTAAGAAGTTGTTAGAGTACATAGATAAGGGATGCTTTGCTAATTTGACAGTATGTTTTGAATTGTTAATAGCACTAGAATGATTTTTAATCTGCCTACTGTATTCTAAGGCTTTGTTCTTTCTCTTGCATATTACAAGTTGCCTGGCAGCGACATTACAAGTGGGAGTGATGTACTTTCTGATGTTATACCTAGTATTCCGAGCTCTCCTTGTCTGCTTCCAAAAAAGAAAAACAAGCACAGGAACCTTGATGAACTTCCATGGAGTGCAATGACAAATGATGAACAGGTGAAGTCGACTTTTTTCCTATGTGAGAACTGTAATATGCAGTGCCACATCTTAATGAACATATTGATTCCTGTAAGTGTAAATGTAGACCTATGCAGTACTACCTGATTATTGAAACTAAATCTTCTTGTCTTTTGCATCTGTAGTAAACAGTTTAACGTGTACTCAGGCTTTTTACCCTGAGTTCTTGAGGGCACTCAGTGAGACTAGAATCATAGGAAATATGATGCTTGAGCACATTTTATTCTGTTGGTGCTTCCTTTTTTCTGTCACTCATTCAGAATCAATGCTACTTTTAAATGACCTGCCTTTCTTTGGGTCCTAGGTTGAATATATTGAATATTTGAGTCGCAAAGTCAGTACAGAGATGGGCCTTCGAGAGCAACTTGATATTATTAAAATTATAGACCCTACTGCTCAGATCTCACCTACGGATAGTGAATTCATTATTGAATTGAACTGTCTCACAGATGAAAAACTGAAGCAGGTGAGTTAAGGTTTGTACATTTGACTTTGGGATTTCAGCATCTGATATGTCTTGCAAAATCTCTTATGGAGTTGTGATCAATTTTTCTACATAGTCATTAGATATAGGGAGATACACTACAACACAATCTTTTCAGTGAGGGAAAACAGAGTTCAAAAGCATATTGTATGTATTAAACCTTTATGTGAAAGACTGGTTATATATTCTCAATGTGTGTTAAGCCTAAGCTGGTGTGTGTGTAGTGAATTACGCTGTGGGCTCAGTACTGCATATGACAAAGTGTATTCTACTTCATGACTATCAACTGGTTGAGGATGTTCATTTGCTCACTGAATATAAGCTAGCATTTAAAACTCGAAAGGATTAGAATTCATTAGGGAAGACCATACATTTCATGAAAAAAAGGAACATTGAAAAATCTGTTTTAAAGATGTTAAAAAATACAGATTATAACAAAGCAGGGTACCTGATTGATGTAGATATATGCTACTGTTTATTAATCTTTGTACTATTGCGATGCGTTGTTGGGAGAAGATGCAGTATCCAAACAAGCAGAACTCCTCAGTGTTACTCTGTGATAATGATGAAGGTAAAAATTGAAAATGGAAAACACTGTCATGGTCTTGGCCTATTTCATATTTCAAACATTTTACAAGTATCATCTTAAAGTAAAAAAGTACCTCTTTCCTTACACCTACTTTTGTTTGAGTATATCTAGCAAAATAAAGAGGTTTGATACGTTAGGTAAACAACTTAGTTCAGGTGAACTTAACTGATATTCATGTTTGGTGTTATAATAACTTATTGTTACGTAGTGGAAAACTTCAGGGGCAGGAGAGGGGAAAAAACCCCAAACCTTGTTACTTAGTTTTCTTTCTTCCATAATCAAGTTAATATTACATTAGTTCTTAGTTAAGTTCTCTTGATGACTGCCTGATGGGTTTGGATTTAACCAGCCACAGCAAAATGTTTTAAAAGACTGACTGAAGGGATCTAATAACTTGATCATTAGTACTAGGCAAACTGTGTTTTTTCCATGAAAAGCAGTATCTCAGTACAGTATTGGTCAGGCTTTAGTAATTCCGCTGCCTCTGTTCTAAAGGTGAGAAACTATATCAAGGAACATGGACCTCGTCAACGGTCTGCAAGGGAAAGCTGGAAGAGGAGTAGCTACAGTTGTGCAAGTACCAGTGGTGTGAGCGGTGCCAGTGCCAGCAGCAGCAGCGCCAGCATGGTCAGCTCAGCAAGCAGCAGTGGTTCTAGTGTTGCTAACTCCGCTTCAAACTCGAGTGCCAACATGAGTCGAGCGCACAGTGATAGTAATTTGTCCACAAGTGCTGCAGAAAGAATCCGGGATTCAAAAGTAAAGTTTCTTGTTACGTACATGTGCATTAAGCTGTCTAATTTGTTAAGGTTGCTTATGTAATCTTAACTGGGATATTTGGACTGAAGGAGCATGGTTAGCAACTGAGGATCTGCTGAAGTTATCTAGCTAAACCAGTGCTGACTGTTTCCTCTGACAGGACCATAAGGAATTTAAACCTTTGCTCTTCCCATCACTTCTCTTCTAAGTGAAAGCCTGATGTTTGTATGTAGTAGATCTTCTCATTACTTTTGTTTAGAATAAGGTGAGTGGGGTTTGAATAAGGGCTTGTGAATCTGACTTAATTCTTTGAATGAAGACAGTTTTACCAAAAAAAAAAAAAAAAAAATATTCAAGATAGATCAACCTAATCTAGGCATATTTTTTGAATAGAAAAGACTGTCTTGGTTGTGTTGATTTCCCAACTAGAAGTTTCATCAGGCTTTTTGAATCTTCTTCAGTTTATTCTTCCAACATGTCTCATGAAATTACTTGGTGAAGCATGTTTCAATTTAAGTAGTACTGTGGCAGTTGTCCTGTCTCTGTAATTTGAAGTATGGAGGAGAGGAGCATTTCCTGCTTGCTCTTCGACATTTCAGGTTGTTATTTTAAGACTGTAACACTTCCCCTGCAATAAAAATTCTTCGGATCAGGGACTCGGCTGTGCAACATCACAGGGTGACGTTGTGCCTCATAACTCAGATGTGGTAAATGGTCTTGATATTTTAATAATGGATATGGTTTTGGATGAACGTTTACACCACCTCTGAGAATTCATTTTAGCTATTTTTCAGAGCAGATATTATTTTAGAGGTTAACTTATATTTGCCAGCTTTAAAGGTGGTTTCTAATCTACAGAACACAATCTTATTTTTTCTTTTCTGTCTTTTGACAGAAACGTTCCAAGCAACGGAAACTACAGCAGAAGGCCTTACGCAAGAGACAGCTGAAGGAACAAAGACAAGCTCGTAAGGAAAGACTGAGTGGATTATTTCTTAATGAAGAAGTGCTCTCCTTAAAAGTGACTGAGGAGGACCATGAAGGAGATGTGGATGTTTTAATGTGACAGGGGTGAATTTATCAGTGTTCTTTCTAAGCCTTAAATGTATTATCCTTATTGTTTACATATATTTCTTGACCAAATTTTGATTAGTGTTAACAGTATGAACCAGATCTTTTCTCAAGTGTAACTTTGGTAAGAAGGTCTAAGTATTGAGGAACTTCAGCTTTTTGAGACTAATTTTGCAACAAAGACTCCAGAAACTTAACTGTCTTCTGAAAAGCTGCTGAATAGATACAATTTTAAGGAAATCTGAACTCAGCTAACATGCTGACTTACTTGCAAGATGTAAATCTAGGGGTGCTTTTGGATGACATTAAGCATGCATTATTACTGTGCTTCAGCTTTTTTTTTTTGCTTTTTTTTTTTTCCCAATTTAGAGTTACTATAATGTTTGGCTTGTTCTGTCTTCCCTTCCCATTATTAGGAGGATTGTTTAGCCTAGGAAAAAATCTTTAGTTCTATAGGGCTTTCTTCACCCTTGCTCTTGGATCATACAAAATTGAAGTAGTGTGATAAATCCTTTTCTAGAAGTTGTGATTTAACTAAAACGACACAGAAAACAGAAGCAGGACTTCTAATGCAGGGAATCTGTAACACAGATAATGCCTAATAATGTAGTTCTTTAGGAAGCAATCAGAATTCAGAAAAACAACTTGCAAGCTAGGTCTCCAGAAAGTTATTTTGCTGCTCAGTATCTTATAGTATGATTACTACTAACTAATGGTTGACCAGTACATCCCTAGTATTGCTATGAAAAGATTCAAATAAAGATATCTTTATGCATTCAAAGTACACTAATCTGCAATTAAGTTGTCTAGGACATTACTTCACAATAGTTTAAAATGCTACTGGAAACAGAAGTGCAAACAAGTGGCATACAACTTTGGTGGCTTTTTTACCCAGAAGCATATCTAAATAGATTCATGTTGTTGACAGGACAACTTAATGCAGCTGTGCTTTCTAATTGTATGTTTAGCTGAGGATGTGTCTTCTGTGTGGGTTGTTACACCATTATGTGTTTCAGGATTCTCCTTTTATTGTCTATCTGCTTTTGAAATTTCTCTTGCTAAAATGTGAGGTAAAATTGTGGCTTTCAGGTGGGGAGGTAAAAGTAGTTTTAACCTGTTTCCTAATTCTGACAATCTGTAAGGTGACACTTGCCTTTATCTTGGAACTACTTGTTACAGAATGCCTTTCCCCCACAGCTGAGCTAAAAGTGATACTTCCAAGTTTCAGTGTGAAACTTAAAAGATTATAAATGTATTTTCTAGTTCTGAGTTTAGGAAGTAATTTTTCATTATCTTCATGTTTCTTTAATTTTGCTCATATGAATTGAGGAGTTTGGCAGTTTAATGTGGCCCCAGGTACCTGTAATTGCAGGATATAGCCCAATCCTGCAGAATTGCGTGATCAACTTTATATAGGACTGCTCACATTCATTTTGCATGTCCTGCACAGACTTACTAGCCCTGACAGCTGAAGTATTTTTCTTTCAGAAGTGGCATTCCTTGTAGCCTCAAAATAAACTAACCAATAACATATCTGAACAATGGCCTCTGAAAAGGCTTTGATAAGAAGTGAGTGAAGTTCATAGTCAGTCTAGTATTTGTGAACTTAGTCACTCTTACAGCTGCTAGACAACAGGTACCAGACTTGCCCACTGACTGATGAAAAGCTGCGTAATGTCATTTTAAACTCAAGTGTTAGCTATCCCATGTGGCCAGATACTTGGCCACTAACCAGAAGGGGCTGTTACCTGTCAGTATTTGTTTGTGCTGCACTGTAGCTGTTGATACCTGTCTGCCTTCTGTAGAAACAATACCAAAAACTTCTTAACAGTATACAAGTTACTGAGAATTTAGATTGACTTAAATCCGGAGCTTCTTTTAAATATCTTGGATGGGAGAAAAAATTGAATTGCTGTCAATTCAGCTAATTTCAGGGTGCAGTCGTTGAGCTCTTGCAACTTACAATGGCTGTAATGGATGAATTCATCATGAAACGTTTCACTGTGTATACACTGTCACAGTTCAGTACAACCTTTATTTTCTGAAGTAACTTTGAAATGTAATTTTTTTTTTTATTTCCCCTGAAGAAAAATGCACACTTAATACTGTAGAGAATTGAAACTGAAATAAATTGTAAGAAAAGCAAGGTATCTCAGTGTGGTGGAGCATGAAAGTGTGTCACTTTATGCTGTTTCATCAGCTTTTCAGTTTAAAATCCCTCAAGCTTTGTTGGGAGAAGACCCCCCTCATTTTGATGAGGTACGGTTCTTTTGGTGACCTGTCCACTAGCTCCTAGAGATCATGAAATGAGGGAGGATAGTATTTCCATCTTGATCTTAGTGTGAGCGTGTAAGTGTAAACTAATTGAAATGATTACATGGATCCAGTTGCTCATCTGTTACATTGGATGAAAAGGTCCTGGGTGCCACAGTAGCTAATTGTGGTATGTCATCCCCAGCTGGGTACTTCAGTTACTTGTATAACAATTAAAATGACAGAAGAGAGTGGATTTCCAGGGGTTCCATGGTAATAATTTATAGCTCTGTAATCTCATAGTCACAGGATGCTAATAAGAATGACCTAAGAATACAAAACTGAATGTTCTGATAAGAATGCAGAATTAACATCTTGCTTACCTGAATCTTTGTTGAGTACTTGGCATCTCAGGGCATCAGGCCTGAAGTAGCTGTGGGATTCAAGAGTTTTCACATACTTCTGCATGTTCGTTTTTTTTTCCCTTTTTCTTTTCTCATCCTTCTTAGTTCTAGTGACATACTCATTTTGTGGAGGGGGAGAGGTGATTTTTGTCAGATTCTTGTCTTTCCCTGCATTATGCTGTCTGCTTACCCAGGGAAGTCATCGTCAAGTCACCATCCCTGAAGGTATTGAAAAGAAGTGTAGATGTGATGCTTAGGGACATGGTTTAGTGGTGGACTTGGCACTGTTAGGTTAATGGTTGGACTCAATGATCTTAAAGGTCTTTTCTAACCTAAATGATTCTATAATTCTATGAATTTATATTGGATACCCATGGCATTAGTCAAATGGTTGGAATTTTAGTTAAAGCAGGTCTTGCCAATTTGAGTGTTGGCCATTGTGGCTGCTGTTTTGTTTTACAGGAAGTTATCTACAGATTATTGGGTTCAGATGGATAAAGAAGAGTAACAGACTGCTAAAATCATGTGTTATTAGTGTTTTTACAAAAAATAATCAAATCTCTGCTTTTTATTCATAGATAAAACATGTCAATCTTAAAGGCAAAATAGAAATAATAAGGAAAAAGCTCAGTTGTACTGCTCCATAGTACTGAAGCTGTATATCTAGGTGCTTTGTACTCACTGTAATATGGATGTAATCAATTTACACTCTGTAACATTAACAGTTTGCTTCCATGGTAACTTTTTCTCTAAAAAGGCTTAGAAGGAGCACTGAAAGTCTTATTGCAAAAGGACTGTAAACAGTAGAGAACATTATTTTCTCATATGATTTTAAATATGCGGAAGAAAGCTAGCTGCCTGACAAACCTGTCTTAAATTTTGTCTGTGTATCTAATGTCATCCGTTGTCTCTGTTAAGATAATATCTATTTTTCTTTATCTGGGAAACTGATTGAAAGATGGTTATAGTATGTTCAGTATGAGATGCTTACTAAGAACAACAAGAAAAGCCTTTGTAAGACTTTTCTGGGCTTAACTTTTAGTTCTCCTATTGTGGTTTGAAACTCTGGGGAAAAACCAAACCAACTTGCTTGAACTTTCTCATACGCATTTACGTCAGTGTGCATATACAATACAGAAACATATAAAAATGGCAATATTTACTGTTCATCTATGCTGAAAGGCCTGAAGCCATTTCTTTTCTCCTAACACTCTTTCAGCTTTGAAATCAGTTGATGCATTGGTCTATAAATATTAATAAACCTGACTCTTTGGGGGGCTCTTGAAGTTCATTCTTGTAAGCCAGATTTTGATGTCAAATGTTGTTAGATTCATTGGTTTAATGTTCTTCTTGCAGTTCTTGGTCATAGAAAAGACAAGTCAGCATGCAATTTTTCCATTTAAGGATTCAAAGATAGTTTATTAATCTACTAAGGGCAAACCCTGGTAATATTGAAAACTCTATTTTGACTATTAACTCTGATTAATCATACTTGCATTCTCTCTTATCTGGCTAACTTGAAGACACTTCCAAATTACAAATAAATTCTTCACTTAAAAATAAAAATAATTGTAATGTTGAAGCCTTGAATATAGTTCATAACCAAAGCAAGGGGAAAGTGGGGTTTTGTGATGTTTTTTTCTTTTTCTGGGGCAAGATGGGGGTATAGATTAGAGTACATGGTACTGCTTAAATTGAGTTGGTTTTTTTTTTTTTTTTTTTTCCAGGTTCTCTGCTAATTGTATTGCTAAAATGCACTTTTGTATAGAATACTGTCCTTTGTACATTCTGTATCTACTTTACACAATGTTTATAGAGATTTTTCTGAAGTTGTGAAGGATTTACTGAAAGCTGCAATGCTGGTGACTGATGCTGTTGACTTCAAGTTTTCATTGTATTTGCAAATAGTTATGTGCATATTGAAGTACAGGTTGGAATTAAAATTGATGACATAGCAAAGATATTCTCATTAAACTATATGGTATCTTCTTGAGAGCAGGGGAATTCATATTTAGGCCTTGCATACTACCTGTTCAGGCAGAAAGTACAAATAAAGTAGCATGTTAATTGTGCTTTGTGACAGAAAGGAAACCAGCCCCTCCTTAGCTAGTGTGGTTTGTTATCCTCAAAATCTGATCAAAATTGTTTTATAGGAAAACAATTATTTGTTGTGAATGATATAACCCAAGATCTTGTACTGAAAGCTGTCTGTCCTTAGTTTTGATTTTTGTGCCAGAGGATTTTTTTATATACATATACTATATACTCTGTAGCTGTGGGCATAGGAAGTCTAATCACTTTTGTTGCCAGTAGTAACTCTGAATCTTCTTCTGCTGTCACCCTCAGTAGCTGTAGCCATCAAACCACCACCTATCCTGTGATGATTAAAATCCCTAACAGGACTTACAGGCTGACAACCTACCATGCTCTTACAGTTCATCATGCAGGCACCAGTGTGTCACTATTGTAAATCCAGATCTCATTTGCTGCAGCAGAAGCAGGTATGTGTGGCTGTACCAGAAGTTGCAGTGATGCACACCAAGACACGCAGCACCAGCAAGGACATGGCAGTGGCAATGGCTTTGCAGTCACCAGTGTTTGAGTAGGCTACAGTGAGGACAGTTGCCAGCCTGTGTATTCTGTCTAGTCCTTGAACCAAATTTGCCTTCTGTACTACTGAAGTTTCAAGTGTAATATTACAAAAATTCCTTTTTCCCCTTGGAATCTAGCAGAAAAATCCTCAAAACCCAAGATAATAGCTGTCATAAGGATGTATTTGTCAGCGTTCAGAAAGTGTCCTGCAGCATCTCGGAGATCTAAACTGCCTTGTTCATCCCAGCAAAGGCTCAGAAAATGCTTACAGAAGTTAATTCTCATCAAACACTTAGAGAAGTTAAAATTGTCCAACTGTTACTATCTCAGCCTGTTTCTGTAGATAGTGAGGGATGGAGAGAGACAAATGTGGGCAGAAACACTGCATATCCAAGCAAGTCTTGTCAGACTGTCAAGAGACCTTTAATTGTTGAGTCTGTGACTGTGAGGCTGCAGAATGTAACTGCAGAAGCTATTGCTCTTGTGGTGCTTTGCCTTCACTTCCACAACCTGCTTGGGGTTTTTTGTCTGTTTTCACCCAAAGGAGAGTGACAGTGCAGAGTGTTTTGCAGCAAAACAAATAGAAATGTGCCAGGGACTTTGACCATTTGTGGTGGTTGCTTGTGGTAAGGACTTACTGCTCCCTGGGTAGCACCTAGAAGCTGCAGGGAAGTTGATGTTTATGTTTTCCAAATCACAGGATCCCAGTGAGCTGGCCTGCTTTGCTGTGGACTGCTTAACTTTCCCAGTAAGTTCAGTTGCAGCAGTTCATTACCGAGGTAACAGTTTTATGGGTGAGTTGTTACACCTCCTGCAAAGCAGCTGCCTATCAAATGAGGGCATGTGGTCACAACTAAACACTGCATGTTATGCATCTCTTATTATCCCGCCTTAAACATTTCTTCATTTATCTCTTGAGTGTGTCAAGTTTCACTGAAGTGAGAAAGTCTTATTTGATGGCCAAACACTATTTGGGCACCAGCTGAACCACAATTTCCACACTGGCAAAAGAAATTGACAAACTGCTAAACTGATAGGAAAAGATGGCATTGGCTATGATCTTGCTGTCATCAGCCCTCTCTTACAACTGGCCAGAACTGTAGACTTGGCCCAAACATTTCCCGGTACAGAAAGAGTTAGAATTTGGTTTCCTGAGATCCTTTGTATGTGTTCCTCAAAATCCTGTGTCCTACTAGAGAGAAAACATTTTTTTTTCACCTCCTTCCAGAACATTAATCTCTTGTAAATGATTTCTCTGGTGCTGAGATGGAGCTTAAATTCAAATCCACATTTCTGCTTCTGACCTCATTTCATGCTCTTTTCTACACCCTGCAGTGGCTTGCACTTGGCAGCATCACTGATGTAAAAACTTGTTTCTCGTAATGTAGACCACAGCCCTGAGGCTTAAGCGTGATAATTCCTCTTGGTCGTAGACTCCTTCTAATGCTACTTCAGTTGAAGTACCTGCTGTATTGCTACAAAGTTTCTCGGAGAAACATTTATTGCTGTAGCTGAAATGTAGAGTTCGACCGCCAATTTGCTGTGATTTTAACGGAAGGCGAGCGAGTCACTCGTATATTGTCACTAGAGGGAGCACTGTAGTCGTATTACTTGCCTTTGCGAGTACAGCTGCCAACGTTGCTTTGCTACACTTTACTCTGTTATGTCCTATTAAAAAATTATTAGGGGCATTTGCTTCTCTTATGCTGTTTTTGTAGGAGGAACGTGTCTGTTAAGAGTTAGTCTTACAATAATAACATTTCCAGTGACTAGGGGAAAAAAAAAAAAATCTACTTTTTCTGTGGTGATTGCTAATTCCTGCCTGGTACTGCTTATTGCAATTGAAAGGTAGAAGTATATTTCTGTTTAGTGTTACATTTTGTATGCATACTGTATTGCTGCTTTAAATGTCCTGGTCTGCTTCAAAATTCAGCTTTCTTCAATGTGGGCTGAGAATTTTGCAGTCGAAACTATTAGGTAACAATAGAAAACAAGCAGTCAGCTTTGAATGTACCAAGTCTCATAATGTAGATACCTGCCTGTCCCTGGGAGGCAGGGGAGACAAGATATACCTCGACTACCTTATTTTTTTTTAATAATAACTTGTGAATAGGGCTTTGGGGCTTCCTTTGGAAGAAAGGAAAATACTGCTTCAATAGGAGCTGTTCTCTAGTTGAGTTTTTTTTTCTCTCTACTTGTCTGACAATTATTGCTAGCTTTAAAAATAGCTTACTAATGCACGTTGTAACTGCAGAGAACATGTGAGGAGTTCTCCCTGGAATCTCAGGTTCATTCCTGGAAGTCAAGCTTTTAATGGTCCTGTGCAGAATTAGAAAAGCTTTGAGCACTCATATGATTGTGCAGATATGCTAGTGACTCATCCTCTTCTGTCTCTGTGTCAGTAGCTGTCATGAAAACAAAATGCAAAAGAAATGCAAGTTCTAGTCATCAAGTGAAATACTTACTTTAGACAAATATTTGTTCGATGTGTGACTTATAAGGTCTTCGGTTCAAAACTGTCACATTACTGTAGTAGAGAGATACTTCCTCATGTTCAGCGGGGAAACTGCTGTCGGCAGGCCTTGAGCACGCCGGCTGGTTACAGGGTGATCTGAGGCAGCTTGCTGGAAACTGTCTGGCCCTTGCATTAGCCATGCTCTTTTAAGAAAAAGCAGTATCTTTTCTCAGTTCTTTTCACAGGAGCATCGTCATGCAAATCCTGTGATACAGCGACATTCACCTTCAAAGCACACTTGGCTGCTGTTTCTTCAGTGTTGGGAGAACTGATGTCATTGGCCTAGTACTTGTGAAATCCTGGGCTTCATAAGCACATGCACTGTGGTTTTCCTGATCGTTACAGCACGGCCTTGCAAGAAGGCAGGATGCTTCTAAGCATATCAGTTGTTTACATATTGCCATCTTGAATTTAATGAGCTGCATTATACCAGTATCTCATAAAAATATCATGTCTAGGAGCAGTATGCTGCTTCTGCTGTGGAAGAGTTGAGGTGGCTTGGCCCTCAAATGCACTTTTTTTTTTTGAAAATGGAGAAATGATCTGAAGGGTTGTTAGTTCCACTGTGACAACGATGTAAAGTTTCTTGTGAATGCTTTGCTTATCCCTCCTTACTGATGGCTTGTAAATGGGGAAAAATACAGAGCGAATGGTCTGAAAGCTGCGGTGCCAAGTTCAAAATAGCACTTTAATGTCTATATAGATGCCTGTTTGTAACGTGGCTCCTGTGAAGGTACACTTCCTACACAGGCTCTCAGTACCAGATTCTTAAGTCATTAATTCTAGGAGATTTTTCCTAGGGAAAATGTGTGCCTGAATAATCTTGAAAGGAGGGACTAAAGTTTTGAATTTAGATTGCAATGAGATTTAAAATGTGACATATAGCAGTTAATGTCTACACAGATCTCTTAATTTGTTTTTCTTGCCACCTAGTTCCTGTCTATACTTCCTGAAGACATTAAATAGTAATTACAACATGGCAGTTCATCATAGAAGTTGCTGAGAAGATATTTTCAGTTTGTTGCAGACCCTCCTAGTTATTTAGGTGATTCTCATTTCTTGGTATTTGTTTCCGTTCTTAGTTAGTCAAAAGGCAGTTGATTTAGTCCTTGCTTGCTTTTGTTCAGTATAGAAATAAATAGATTAGTCATAGGGTTTTGTTTCATCTTCCACTGTGTGTAATAGGAGCAAAGGAAGAGCTGAGACAAGTTAATGTTAATAACTGGTCAGTGTTGATGTGTGGACAGCTTCTTTCAGACATAGTTTATATCACTTTGTAGGTTTAATGTCTCCTGCATTTGAGAGAGATCTAAAGGTGTAATGTATCAATTGATACATTGAGGAGCAGTGGAAGTATGCAAGAACTGTTAATGACAGGTGTATTCTTTGAGCAAATAGATGCTCAACGTGCCAGACATTTTTATGCATGTCCAAAGATCTTGTACTTGACCTTCTTCCTAAGCCGGCGCACAGTGGTGTGTCCACTACCTGGCTGGTACTTTCTGGCAAGAGCAACGTGAGCTGCTTAGCAGTTAGTATAGATTACTTTTGCTTAGGACCTCACAACTTGTAGATGATTCTACTTGGCAACTCCTCTCTGCTCTATTAGAGTGTAGACCGGCTTGGGGACCTCCACACCACGTCCCTTTATTAACACTGCTACATTGTGGAGAATCTAACTGCAGTGTCAGTGCAAACCTTGTGTTTTCCAGAAAGGTGTGTGAATCCTAGTATTACAAATACTGCTGAGGAGAGCAAAGATACTGTGTGTGTTAAGAGGGTCTAAAAACTTGTGAATTATGGTGCTGACTATATAACTTTTCACCATACAGTCATGAGTATTATTCAACTA